TTTAGAATAAGTTCTCCATTGTGTTGGTAACAGTCAGGACAGCCTGGCCCAGTGGTTTGCTTAGTTTCATTATCACAGATCATTTTTGGAAATTGACCATTTTTTTTAAATTATTATTTGTAATGACTCATTGAAGCAGGTTCTTTCAGATCCGTACAAATCTCTTTTCAACCGGCATAATAAAAATGATCAGAATTTCCCCAAGTTTCCCTGCCATGTCATCCAATATCACTTGTAATATTTTTTTTATATATATGGACTGATCCAGTGGCAGTAAAACTAAATAAAATCATTGATTAGGTTCAAAATAACTTCAGTGTTTAAAGTTCATACATTTTTACAAGGGAGCGGCTAGTTTGCATTTGATCCATCTATCAGTTCATTCCCTCCCCCACGATCACAGGACTGCAAGCTTGGCGTTGGCGTGGCATCACCAACAAACTACAGTAAAAGAAAGCGAAAGAGTGCCGGCTCGGGACTTTCCAGGGTGTTGTCATTATGCTTGGCATGTGATATTCAACCACTGGTGGCGTGATTATACAATCAAACCAAAAGAAGAACACGCGGGAAAACTCTAAAATGCTTTGTCAGGACCCAAGGAGACAAAAAAATAGATACTTTAAACAAACAACGTGCACTGTACTCTAAAATGATGCTTTGCAGTGTTAACTTATCTTGAGCTATTGTATCATTTGTTTTGGCTGTTTCTGTTGTTTCATTTTTTTTTCCAGAACATGTTTGTGGCTAAACCAAAAAAAGTACCAAAAAGCCTGTCGGCCATTTTATAATATCTCATCAACTCTTCTTCCTTCCATTTTGTGTCCTGAAATTTCAGTCAGTTATACTGAAATTGTAAGGGGGTATTTCCTGAAGGGTTCAGGCTGCAAGTGACTAAAGAAATGACTAAAGAAATGTTGTCAGAAAGAGGGTAGAAAACTGTACATTTCTTGTCCACCAACTGCTACTTATACCAACGACAGAAATAAGCGCAGTTATGTGGGAGAGCGTTGCTATAGAGTGACAATAGTGTATTGTAATATGTAAAAGTCATTAAAATCAAAACTAGTTAGCACATTATTTGTAATTGAAATGTTTAATGACATTAAATGGTTATGGTTACATTTAAAATAGTTACTACAAACAAATTGAATGTATGAAATGATGATAACGTACCATTAATTGTATTACGTATACCATACATATAACGTATACCATTAATCCTAAGAAAGGGACCCAGAGAATAAGAAGAGACAGAGAAAAGAGTTACAATATTTTATCCTTTCTTTGACCATGTGATTAAAACCCAAATATGAATGGTTCAAACTGACCAATCAGATTATTACAATTTCCCCCATTGTTCTAAATGTGTGTGACCATTCATAGTACACACATCTTGGCCTACAGGCTTTCATCACTATCCTTCAGGAATTACGAATGGTCTTTGGGGTGAGAAAGAGGGGGGTTGAAACATTAAAGCTAATGTCTTTGTTCACTTAATTTTCAATCCTACAAAATATACAAATCAAAAATGAAATTAAATTAACCACGATAGATTCTTTTCAATAAATAAAAAATATACAAAAAAAGTTATTCATAGCCAAATAGAGCAGAAAAGATCAAGTTTCTCAATATATCTCACAATATATCTATTACACAGTTCAAAAGAGTTCAATAATGCAAGAAACCCCAACAGAGAGATAGATAAATTAAAATAAAATGTCAAAATAAATAGTTTTTGAATATTTCTTTTATAATTTGAATTATAAGTGTCAAAATTGATGTCCTAATGCAATATGCATGTTGTCAACAATTATTAATGCAATTTGAGCCATTTTGAGGCAACACTTTCGGAGGCCAAAACAGACCATTTCTTGCCATCTTTCAATAGGGGGTGATAAAACATAACATGGACGCGCCATGAGGCAGCAATATAAACAGGCCTGCACAAACCAAGAACAGGGACTTTCCATCAAAACAATAGGCCCATCTAAACCCAAAGGTGATCAATAAATACAGCAGCATTCTGAAATGTTTAGGGGAAATTAAGTGGATGTATCACGACAACTAACTAGAAATTGAAAGTAAATACTGGTTTTATTTAAGCAACCATTAAATAGTGGTATAGTTTTAAAATTGCTTTAGCAAGGAACCCTCTCTCTCCTTACTGAAGATAATGTGATGAGATCATTTGACCATCACATGAACTTAGCAAATAATTATATCAGATCACAAAATGGCCAGCAATCACACAAGTGCTGCCAATAAGAGCTCAGATATTAAGCTGGACTGGGCATGCCATGAAAGTCTCATGATTTCACAAAACCAGTTGTGCACTTTATACCTGGCATGTAAAACTCTGCAAACACGTAACTGATTCATAGTGGAAAAAAAGTATACTTTATTGTATTTGAAATATAAATTAATTTTTTTCAACTTTCTTTCACTAGGGTATCCTTGCACGGTAAAAAATATGCTCTGTTTAGTTCACTTAAAGTGAGCTATAACATTTGTTTTGGCGGTGTCTTTTGTTTCGTTATTTTCCGTATAGCATGTTTGTGGTAAAAATAAAAAGTACCTAAAAGCCTGTCAGCCATATTATAATATCTCATCACTCTTCCTTCTGCCTTTTTGTGTCCTGTCAGTTACTCTTTTAACATATTTTGTCAAAAGGCAAATAGCCTAGTTGAAAAGAAAAAAAAATAGCTGGAAGTTTCATAATACTGTAATTGAACTCAGCTTCCATTTAAGCAATATATGTATTATCTGTTATTCAAAACATTCAAGTAATGCTTTCTTATTCCAACAAAAAGATTGATAAAAATGGAAAATACATGCCACAACTGATTGATTATGGACTCTAATGATAGATAATCTGCATATATGTCAGCAACAGTTGTTCATTGTGCAATGCTATGGCAGGCATTTTGAGGCAGTACCTTTAATGAAAGCCAAGATATCACTGTACCATTTCTTGTTGACAGTATTTTTTCCAATAGGGGGTGATAAAACAACATCACAATTGTGGACACAGCATGAGTGAGGGATAACCACAACTAAGACAAAAACAATAGGGACTTTCCAACAAAACTATCAACCCAATTGTGATCTAGTTAGCAGCACTCTGAATATGGGGGAAATTCAATTGATTTATCATGACAACAAATTATAAAAAAAAAGTTAAAGTAAATACTGGTTTTAAAATAGAGAATCATTAAATTGTGGCATGGTTGTAATATTGCTTTAGCAATAGGCATTGAAAAATAAAGAATTGAAAGATATAAGAAAAGGAAAGAATGCACATGCCCTCAATATCTTTACTGAAGAGAGAATGTGATGAGATCCTTTCACTTTCAATTGAACTTGGCAAATAATTCTTTCAGATCACAAAATGGCCGGCAATCACAAAATGGTGCTGCCAATAAGAGTTCAGATAAACTGGACTGGCAACCTTGGCATTTCATGAAAGTCATGTGGTTTCCCGAAAGCAATAGTGCATCTTCACTGGCATGTACACTGCAAACACTTAACTCGTTCATTGCCAACACCCTTAGCATCCCGATGTTACCTGAGAAAATTACTGTCTTTATCTTTCTGCCTTCCCGGTGTGTAAAGTAATAGAAATTTAATTTGTAAAATGATTTTTATGCAATATGGTAATACATATTCCATTTTAAATTATAACATGTCATGATAAAGCTTATTAGAGACCAAGTCTACTCAAAGAATATACTGAAATGTAATGTAATTTTAATCTACACCAGAATCCATCACCACAAGGAACATGCTTTTGTAGTTTAGGAAAAAAGAGACATAGGCTATATGCATAATCGAAAAATGGTGGCAGCCATTTTGAGGCAGGTAAAGCGCTGGCAGCGTTATAAAATGGAGATCATATCTTGTCATATCTGTCCCGTTGGCATGAGGGGGTGGGGGGTTACGGCTTGAGCGAGGTACAGCCAGACACCAAGCCAAACATACAAATGTGTACCAGGTGAAACAACAATAGGACCTTTCCAGCAAAACCGGGTTAACTTGTTTGATAGCTGATCTTGTGGTAGCTGCATCGCTCAAAATAAAAATAAACTGTGTGTCACAAAGCTACCACACAGCTAGTGTAAAAATAATAGATCAAAATCTAACATTTGGTTCTCACATGCATATTGATCTATAGTGCTGCTCAACATAAGGGTCATAACAGCAATGAAACTTAAATTTTATGGAGCATTGTTAGCTTTGATAATGTAATAACGTAATGAAATGAGAATGAATGGGGTGAAATGAGGTCAGACTGATTGGATATAATGAAATGAATAATGAAATGAGGTCAGACTGATTGGGTAGTTGGGTTTCTGTTCTTAAAATTTGTTTATTATTAAATAAATACACTTATTGAAAACTTTAAAATGGTAATAATATATTTATTTTTTGGGAGATTTTTGCTTGGTATGATTGAAAATAGTATATCAATCATATCAAGTGATGTTTTTTTTAAATGCAAAAAAAAAAAAAAAAAAAAGTATGGTTTTCTGTGATGGCTAAAGGGTTAGATGGTTGTAGAGTATCAAAATTATGATGTGGATTGTCCCCATTAAACTTGAAAACCCAACCTGCATGTGTGTGTGTTTTGCATCTGCACATTCAAATCGGGTTAACTAACACAATAACAAAAAGGTGCTACCAGGCAGAGCGCCAATAAACCGGAATGACAGCTTGGGCATTTCCTGAAACTCACATGGTTTCACAAAACCAATTGTGCCCCATTTCTGACCATGATTCTGTAATCATACTAACTCTGAACAGTATTTATTTTTAACAAATCTAACAAAACTAGTCACTATATCACTAGACTTAAACCATATAGTATAATAGTTTAAAGTTATCTAAGAACATCACATGAGCAGATACAGTATATTCATTCATGTATACCAGACACCCATAAGACACTGCAATCTCAAATTAAACTTTGAATTAAACCACTATTAAAACCAGTCACAAGCAGATTAGCAAGAACTCTCTATTTATTCACATTTAAATATTACAACTTCCAACACATCCAAAATGTAACACAATCAAAGGTGTTTGAGATGAAACATTTTGACTGATGATCATCACTGGGTTTATGTACAGCCCAGTATCACAACTTATGCCCTTACAGGTATCTATTTACAATGGCATGTTTGTTTATTACAATGTACAATATTTCTGCGACAGGCTATTCGATTTTTACTGTGTCCGATTTCTCTTTGTCTTTGAAGAGTCTTTCTCTCAGTTTATAGTAACTTCCCTTCTGGTTCATGAGTTCCTCATGAGTGCCTGACTCCACCACCTCCCCACTGTCAATCAGCACAATCTGATCCGCCCTCTCAATGGTCTTCAGCCTATGAGCAATCACAAGCAAGGTCTGAGTTGGGCAGCAAGCCAGGGCCTGTTGAACCTGCGGAATAATAAAACACATAAGAAATCATTTGATAGCACCACTAAAGGAATCAGGGATTTGTAAGGGTTATGTGTGTGTTTGTGTTCTTAATAGCCATATTATTTACCATTTGTTCACTTTCAGTGTCCAAAGAGCTAGTCACTTCGTCCAGTATGAGCACCTGGGGTTGTCTGATCAGAGCTCTGGCGATAGCGATTCGCTGCTTCTCACCTCCCGAGAGCAGGTTACCACGCTCTCCCACATCTAACAAAGAAAGCACTGTTTGATGGCGGTGTACTTTGCATTGCAAAAAACACCATTGCATGCTAAAATCTAAAACCGTCAATCATAAATGTAGTGATAACAGAAATTCCCCCCAAAAATATTCAAAATGGCTGATAATCAGTAAGTCTAAAATGATCCCCCCCCCCCTCCCCCAGAGTTAAACAGTTGAGTTTTACCGTTTTCGAATCCATTCAGTCGATTTTCTGATATTTAGAAGAATATCAGTAACCATTGACTTCCATAGTATATATTTTTTTCCTACTATGGAAGTCAATGAGACCAGAAACTGTCTGGTTCCTGATATTCTTTCGAAATATCATTCGAAAACGGTAAAACTCAACTGCTTAACTCAGGGGGAGTTGTAAAATGAGCATATTTCCAAAAAAGTGGAGTATCGCTTTAAATGTAAAGCCCATCTTAGACAAAGTGTATTTGCATGCTAGTTTTATCAACAAACACTTTTGATAGTGTTACATTTTGGTATCAGCCTGGCATATGCTGGTTAGTGCTGGTCTAGCCAGTTGACCAGCAAAGTGTTTTCAGGCAAAGCATTTTTGGATGTACAACTAAAAGCTATGAATTCTAGCAATTCTGTTGTTCACAGATATTGGAATATATTTCGTTTTTTTTTTTTTTTTCGTCCCATCAGAACTGACCAATAACAGTTGACTTAGCCACATTAAAGTGGTAAGTGATAGCAGTTTCTTTACCTGTGTCATAGCCATTTTCCAGTTTGCTGATGAAGGAATGGGCATTGGCTTTGCTGGCAGCCTCCTTTACTTTTTCCATTGAGCAGCCAGGCAGACCATAGCCAATGTTGTCTCGAACGGTGCCAGAGAAAAGTACAGGCTCCTGACCCACCATTGCTATCTGAGAGAGATTATTTACAGTAGATGTTCTTGCATTGGATATGGTTCTTTAGAATAGACTTGTAGATATTTATGAATAGAGGTGGTATGGAATTAAACTAAAGTTCAACAGTAAAGTGTTTGTTCCTTGAAAGTATTCACCTTGCTGTGCATGTAGTTGTGTTGGTAGTTCTGCAGTGGTTGTCCATCTAACAGAATTTGTCCCTGTTGAGGCTGGTAGAATCTCTCCAGCAGACTCACACACGTGCTCTTCCCCCCACCTGACATTCCCACCAGAGCCGTCATCTGACCGGGCTTCAACTCCAGAGAGAAGTTCTGAAAACAGATACAAAAGTAGGCATAATTAAGATAACTTATTGAAAATAATCATTTTAAAATTGTATATGTATATGATAAACCTTTAATAGATCATGCATAGCTCATAAATAACAACTGCATTTATATTAGAGAGAATTAGCTCGTACACAACATATTTGCAAACTTATGTACTCATGCAGTTTATTAACACTATTAAAAAAAAATTTAATATAAGAAATAAAAAATATTTTAGAACAGGTTCATGTGAATTGCCTTATCAACTTTGACAAAGCTTTAGTGAAGTGATTCTTCAGAGCAAACGTTGTACCTTTAACACATTGTGGTCAGGCCTTCTGGGATACGAGAAGGTGAGGTTTTGAAAGCTGACGTGTCCTTTCAGATCACTGGGCTGCAAATTGCCGTCAGTACTGACTTCAGACTTTCGGTCCAGGTACTCGAACACCTTACCGGCCGCACCTACTGAGTTCAGCATGTCTCCAAAGATGTAGATCAAAGTCTGGAATAGAGGTGGATAAATATTTATGAATCTTTTTACCTTAAACATGCTTTTTTGAGGACTGTTGATTTAGGTGATATAACTTTTCTCTACCCTCTTGTGTCACCACAAAAACCTATATATATATATTATAATATATATATAATATATATATATACACACACACACAGACACACCCTGATGTTGTCTCCAAGGTCTTGCTGATAAAGGATGAAAGAGACGAGATTTCCTGTGGTCATCTGTCCATACTGGATGAAGAGTCTCCCATAGTAAAGCATGGCCACCTTCATTCCTACTTCTGTCATCTGCAAATCAGAAAAGATCCATAGCAATGGAGTATGTAGTTCCATATTAACAAGTTTGCTTCAAAGAAAATAAACACAATGCACATTAAAACGAGAGGTCAACTCATACTAACCCGTCTAACTAGCAGGTAAATTGCCCTGACTGTGTCCCGTCGGGTCTTTAGATTATGGGTTTCCATCAAGCAAACATCATAGCGATGGGCTTCACCAAGTTCTGTCCTGAAACTCTTTACCGTCCTGATTCCTGACACCACCTCCCCAGCAGTCTCATTAGATTGTGCTATGGAGTCCTGAACTTCTTTTGACAGCCTCTAAAAAGGCCATGAAATCTTGAAATGTGATGTATGATCTCAAAAAAGAGAAACGTTTTTTCATCATTCATCATAGTACTTTTGTTAACCCCAAACCTGATAATGCGTGTCATATATGTTCTGCAGTAAGCCTGTCAGTGGCGTCTCCATCAGCATCAGCAGTGTAAGCTTCCAGGAGAGGCTCACCATCAGATACAGCATGCCTAGGGTCTTAATCATGGTCCGTATAAGGATATTGACATTCAGGGCTACAGCGTGGCTCATCAAAGTAGTGTCTGTGGACAGTCTAGATGTGATATCACCTGAAAGACACATATTCAGAGGAAACAATTTATGACTCCATATTAAGAGCATTGATGATTGCATTGCAAGTCTGTCCATTGACCATAGACACTGCATTAGATCTACCTGTCTTGATGGTTTCAAAGAAGCCAATATCCTGCCTGACAAGGGACCCAAACAGTTGCATCTTAACTCTGCAAGTGAAGCTGTTGATTGCACACATGAACAGGCCTCCACGACAACCTGCACTGAAAGAACTGAGAATAACAAAAAAAAAACAGTGTTCATTAAGAAACTAAAAGGGCATTTTTGTAAAACACATAATTGTAATACCAACCTTCCCAATGAGAATAATCCCATAAGAATTATGGCAGATCTGAAGTTATCCCACTGGTAATGAGAACCCAATATGTCAATCACCTCTCCTGTGTACAGTGGGATGAACATCTCACCTGAAAGCAAACAAAAGGAACTTTAAAAAAAAAAGGTTTACATTAACGTTATACTTTTATTTTATATACTAAGTAGGCTAAATGCAACGAAATACTCACATAGCACAGCTAGGGACAGAAAGACAAAAGCTCCACACAATAATATGTAGTCAGGTTTGTATAAACGGATGACCCGGATGAAGAGGACTCGAGCCCTCTGTTTGCGCTCTTTACCGTTACCGTTACTCTCTCCATTCGTGTCAGGCAGCATTACCTCCCAAAAGAGACAAGCCAAAGCAGCAGCGACGGTTCCGACAAGCCAGCTATTATATTTATCAAGGCGATAGTTGTCAAACAACGCCAAGCGTCCGGTTTCGTATACCGAATCGATAAAACAGTGGACTGTAATCCACCTCCTTATTAATGGACCTGCAGCATCTTTAGATAACATAGATCCTGCGTACAGTAGTGTGCATCGCAGTCCAGATTCAGCCCATTGGCGGAACAGATTATGGTCGAGATTTCTTGTACGAAACTTCAGCAATGTTGCTCCGAGGTCCAGAGTGTAAACTATTATTATATCAACACATAAAATACACGCGAACACCAACGCTTTCTGCATGATGCACGTGTAAATCGGTTGCCCGCTGTGGTAACACTGTATAAACTCGCGCGCGTAAGATATTCTCAAAAAACAAAACAAACGTTACCCTTTTTCGGTTATTTTTTCTCTCTCTATGTTTTGCCTCGTGCCTACGGAGTGCGAAATTGTCTTTTCTTGACACCGCGCCGGGGCATTTTAGGACACCGACATTATTTTCCTTTTACTTTCAGTTTCTCGGGATAAGGGGGTTTCCTTCAACATAGAAAAAAAGGCTGTTCCCAAAAAAACGCTCACATTTTAACCTTTCGTCTGTCGATAATTTGTTTACTCAAGTTAACTTAGTTTTTACAGAGAATTTTTAATTAACTGTTACCTTGAGACTAAGCTATGCAGTTAGGTTACCCTATGATCAAAATAAATCCATAAATATTTTATAGTATTATTCATTTATATTTGCAACATTTTTGTTTTAATTTATTTTCTTTTATTTGTTTTTTTCTATTTTTCTTTCTATTTTGCAACAAACGTCTCCCTTCTTCAGAGAAGCCATAACAGAACATGTTCCACAAGCTGCCGTGTTCATCTCTGCCTAGCAAATGATGAGTCATAGACCTGTCTGGTCTACTTATACATAATTATGCAGTTATGGCTTGTTCTGTCTGCTCAGGGGTCCTGAGTTGCAGTGGCAGCCAGTTACTCAGTGCAGCGTTTTGCATGGCGTCCCAACTGCATATGGGTAGTTGACAAATGGCCAAGAAAAAGTACTTTTTTATGAAAACATAACTTTTTAAGAAAAAATACATATATTTATTAAGTGAAAACTGCAGTTTCAGAAAATAGTAGTGGTAACTCATTTTGTCAATGACTTCACATATTATTTTCACGTTTTCACTCAACGATACTGTAAATATGTCCTACGTGACATTTAAAAAGTACTGAAAAATTATATTAAATAACATTAAAAAAAACTAATTGAGAGAATTGTTCACTATTAAAACATTTTTTTAAGAAAGTGATATTTATATTATATGAAAGTAAAAATTTGAATAATTTTTACCATGAATAGATTAACTTGATAAACTTTTCCCTACAAAAAAAACTTAACAACTTCAGTGGTCTGAAAACATAGTTAAATATTTGACCAATTCTGAGAGAAATAATTACTATGTGCACTGCTCATGGGCTTCATAGGGGTCTTCAGTCACATGACCTTGAATGGGGTCTTTCTACTAAATGTAGTTGTCCATAATATTGCCCAACATAATATCAGGTTATTGCGTAACACCAAAGGACATTTTTTTCTGTGACAAACTTTATGAAATTCCCATACATTTAGAAATGTATGTATAGGAAAATGATTGGCCACTTAGTGAAATAGACACTTTCACAATTATGCCAGGAGAGCCCATTAAGATTTTTAAACATTATTTTCTTTATTTATTAAAGGTAATATTTATAATTTATGTTGGCCTGAAACGAGACTTCCTTAGATTTCCACGACGCATGCGCGAGAATTGCGATCTCCTTCAACTACTTCAGTTCAGTTCTCGCGCATGCGTCGTGGAAATTTAAGGAAGTCTCGTTTCAGGCCAACAAGGAAGAAAAGGAATGATCGAATAAAGTCGCTATTTTTGTTAGTTTTGTTATTTTTGTTTTTTTTTGCACAAAAAGTATTCTCGTCGCTTGATAAACTTATAGCTGAGCCACTGTAGTCACTTGGGATATTTAAACATTTTCTTCATTGACTTTCTGGGCCGTTAAGAGCCAGTCCCTTAGGCAGCCTATGTGGTAGTAAGACCGCTCTCAAATTTAATCAAAAATATCTTCATTTGTGTTCCGAAGATGAACGAAGGTCTTACGGGGTTGGTACAGCATGGGGGTGAGTAATTAATGACTTAATTTTCATTTTTGGGTGAACTAACCCTTTAAGTAGGGTTGGCGTTGTTGGTTAGGTTTACAAAGTGGAACATAGTAGTGACATAAATAGCATTCGTCTCAGGCATTGTTGAACTGCGTCGGAAGTGGACATGCACAAAGTTGACAAATCCCGCCCATGAAACCCAGAAGCGTGATAATCCCCTATTGGGTGTAGTTGCTACACTCTAAAAAAAAAAGGTTCTTCAGGGGTTCTTTGCAGTGGTCATGGTGCTGTATAGCACCAGTAAGCCCAGTTTGGTTCTTCATCGGTTCTTCCGTGGTTCTCTGGGGTGGTTAACATGCTCTATGACACCTCTTATGGTTCTACATAGCATCATATGACAAAGAAAGTGGTTCCCCTATGATTACAAACCAATGAACCATTTTTAGTGCTATTTAGCACAATTTTTTTAGAGTTTAGTTACAGCTGTGCAGCTGCAAATGCGCTGTACATAAAGGCTTCAGTAAATCGAGGAAAAGGAGTTTCAACACTTTATAGCTACGCAATACTCGTTCCCTAACTCAGGGAACTGAGGTTACGTGAGTAACCGAGTAGTTTTTGTTCTCGATGCGTTGTACACGATAGACCAATCACAACAGACTGCACTGTCTGGCCAATCAGAGAGAAAAGGAGGGATTTAGAGAGATTGATTAATTTGACGAGTCATTGATGTGGAAAAGTATATTGTGAGAAAATTGAACAGTTTTATTTACATTTGATGTGTGTAAACATGTTGTAGGAGACTCTATAATAACATTAGGAAATTTTAAAATACCCTAGGGGCACTTGCAGCGGTAGAGTTACACTCACAGGACATTGGACTTATAAGCTTTCTTTGCCAGATAAACATTTCATTGGCATTCTGTTCTGTCATGATGCACTTTTTTTGGAGTGTGTATGCCCAAAGCGCGCGTGCAGTCATGTCAAACAGCACCAAACTGGATTTTTTTTTGGTGTCAGACCCATCTGCTAATGATGGAAAAAATATGTACAAAACAAGCCAGTTTTAAATTTATCATCGATAGACAGATGATTTCTCAGGGGAGGCAGGGTTTATCCTAGTTTATCCCCCTGCCTCCCCCTAGACACGCCCCTTTATGCAAAGAGTATAATCCAAACAAACTCAAGACATACAGTATATCGCAATCAATCAGGGATAAATTATTAAATCGTCACACTGTGATCTTTGAAAAAACATAGTGCATTTTTGCAATATTTGCTTTTGTTGGTCTGGCTTTTAATTCTCTTGCACTTTTTTCAAAGTTTTCCTATATTTTTGCTTGATCTTTGCTTGAGTCTTAATTCAGTGTATGGACAGCAATTTATGATTGAATTTATGATTGAATTCCCCCCGCTGCTAAATACTCCACAGACATTGCTTACATTCTGAGATATATTTTAAAAAAAAAAAAAAACATTTTACAATTGTTTTCACAATGATTTATTTCATATTACATACAGTAATGGCATTGAAAAATTATTCTTTATTACTGATATTTTTCATCTAACCAACCAACTGGTCTCTAATATGAAAAATTGCTTGTGATAACATTTAGTGACAGCTCTGACCTATAAGCCTCTTACTTCCGCTGAGAAAACATAT